CCATCCGGGACCAAGTCCAGGTGAGAGACATAGAGATTTGCAAGATACATACGGATCTGAATGTTGCAGACCCGTTGACTAAGCCTCTTCCATGAGCAAAACATGATCAGCACCAAGGCTCCATGGGTGTTAGAATCATTATTGTGTAATCTAGATTATTGTCTCTAGTGCAAGTGGGAGACTGAAGGAAATATGCCCTAGAGGCAATAATAAAGTTATTATTTATTTCCTTATATCATGATAAATGTTTATTATTCATGCTAGAATTGTATTAACCGGAAACATGATACATGTGTGAATACATAGACAAACAGAGTGTCACTAGTATGCCTCTACTTGACTAGCTCGTTGATCAAAGATGGTTATGTTTCCTGACCATAGACAAAGAGTTGTCATTTGATTAACGAGGTCACATCATTAGGAGAATGATGTGATTGACTTGACCCATTTCGTTAGCTTAGCACTTCGTTTAGTCTGTTACTATTACTTTCTTCATGACTTATACATGTTCCTATGACTATGAGATTATGCAACTCCCGTTTACCAGAGGAACACTTTGTGTGCTACCAAACATCACAACGTAACTGGGTGATTATAAAGGTGCTCTACAGGTGTCTCCGAAGGTACTTGTTGGGTTGGCGTATTTCGAGATTAGGATTTGTCACTCCGATTGTCGGAGAGGTATCTCTGGGCCCACTCGGTAATACACGTCACTTAAGCCTTGCAAGCATTGCAACTAATGAGTTAGTTGTGGGATGATGTGTTACGGAACGAGTAAAGAGACTTGCCGGTAACGAGATTGAACTAGGTATTGAGATACCGACGATCGAATCTCGGGCAAGTAACATACCGATGACAAAGGGAACAACGTATGTTGTTATGCCGTTCGACCGATAAAGATCTTCGTAGAATATGTAGGAGCCAATATGGGCATCCAGGTTCCGCTATTGGTTATTGACCAGAGAAATGTCTCGGTCATGTCTACATAGTTCTCGAACCCGTAGGGTCCGCACGCTTAACGTTCGTTGACGATATAGTATTTATGAGTTATGTATGTTGGTAACCGAATGTTGTTCGGAGTTCTAGATAAGATCACGGACATGACGAAGAACTCCGGAATGGTCCGGAGATAAAGTTTGATATATGAGATAATAGTGTTTAGTCTTCGGAAGGGTTCCGTAATTCACCGGAAGGGGTTCCGAATGTTCCCCGAAATGTTTGGGTACGAGAACACTTTATTTGGGCCAAAGGGGAAAGCCCACAAGGTTTTTGGAAAGCGCAAAAGGAAGTTTTGCGGAGTCCAGAGGCCAGACGCCAGGGTCCCTGGCGTCTGGGTCTAGACGTCAGGAACCCTAGCGTCTGGCCTTGGAGTCCGAGAAGGACTCTTGCCTTTCGAGTGAAACCGACTTTGTGGAGGCTTTTACTCCAAGTTTCGACACCAAGGCTCAACATATAAATAGAGGGGTAGGGCTAGCACCCAAGACACATCAAGAAACACCAAGCCATGTGCCGGCTACCCCGTCCCCTCTAGTTTATCCTTCGTCATAGTTTTCGTAGTGCTTAGGCGAAGCCCTGCGGAGATTGTTCTTCACCAACACCGTCACCACGCCGTCGTGCTGCCGGAACTCATCTACTACTTTGCCCCTCTTGCTAGATCGAGAAGGCGAGGATGTCATCGAGCTGAACGTGTGCTGAACGCGGAGGTGCCGTACGTTTGGTACTTGACCGGGACGGATCGTGAAGGTGTACGACTACATCAACCGCGTTGATAAACGCTTCCGCTTACGGTCTACGAGGGTACGTAGACAACACTCTCCCCTCTCGTTGCTATGCATCACCATGATCCTGCATGTGCGTAGGAATTTTTTTGAAATTACTACGTTCCCCAATAGGGGGGATCCTACTCCCGGTGGGAGTAGGACTCCCCTAGGGAGTGCCATAGAGAGGGTCGGCCCCTCCCCTCCTCCACTCCTTTATATATGGGGAGGGGGGCACCCCATGAACATACAAGTTAATCATTGATCTCTTAGCCGTGTGTGGTGCCCCCTCCACCATAATCCACCTCGGTCATATCATAGCGGTGCTTAGGCGAAGCCCTGTTCCGATAGCATCATCATCACTGTCATCACGCCGTCGTGCTGACGAAGCTCTCCCTCGACACTCTACTGGATCGTGAGTTCGTGGGACGTCACTGAGCCAAACGTATGCAGATCGTGGAGGTGTCGTACCTTCGGTGCTAGGATCGATCGATTGTGAAGACGTACGACTACATCAACCGCGTTGTCATAACGCTTCCGCTTACGGTCTACGAGGGTACGTAGACAACACTCTTCCCTCTCGTTGCTATGCATCACCATGATCTTACATGTGCGTAGGATTTTTTTTGAAATTACTGCGTTCCCCAACAGGTCCCACCGAGTTTGCTTGACCAACTCTCTGTTTTGCTTATTACCAAAATCGGTCACACCGAGTTTGTGTAATCGGTCAAACCGATTTGAGGTTTTACCCTAACCCTAGCACATCGGTCCCACCGAGTTGATCATATTGGTCCCACCGAAATCCTAACGTTCACATTACTAAATCGGTCTGACCGAGTTTCATAATTTGGTCCCATCGAGTTTGATAAATTGTGTGTAACAGCTAGATTTTGTGTGGAGGCTATATATACACCTCCACCCATCCTCCATTCATGGAGAAAGCCATCAGAACGTGCCTACACTTCTACCATTCATTTTCTGAGAGAGAATCACCTACTCATGTGTTGAGACTAAGATATTCCAATCCAACCACAACAATCTTGATCTCTAGCCTTCCCCAAGATGCTTTCCACTCAAATCATCTTTCCACCAAATCCAAATCTGAGAGAGAGAGTTGAGTGTTGGGGAGACTATTATTTGAAGCACAAGAGCAAGGAGTTCATCATCAACACACCATCTATTACCTTTTGAAGAGTGATGTCTCCTAGATTGGTTAGCTGTCACTTGGGAGCCTCCCTCAAGATTATGGAGTTGAACCAAGGAGTTTGTAAGGGCAAGGAAATCGCTTACTTCGTGAAGATCTACCCAAGTGAGGCAAGTCCTTCGTGGACGATGACCATAGTGGGATAGACAAGGTTGCTTCTTCGTGGACCCTTCATGGGTGGAGCCCTCCGTGGACTCGCGCAACCGTTACCCTTCGTGGGTTGAAGTCTCCACCAACGTGGATGTATGATAGCATCACCTATCGGAACCACGCCAAAAATCTCCGTGTCTCCAATTGCGTTTGCACACTCCAATTTCATCCCTTTACCTTCTTGCAAATTGCATGCTTTACTTTCCGCTGCTCATATACTCTTGCCATGCTTGCTTGAAATGTATTGTGAATGTTTAAACTTGTGCTAGAACTCCACCTTAACTTAAAGAAATTAAAAATTGCTACTTTTCTTTGTTGAGGGTCTAATCACCCCTCCTTTAGACACCTCTTCTCGATCCTACAGCGCTGCAACAAGGAATGTTGTGACGCGTCGTCGATGCTGCAAGGCGGTGCTCTGAGAACGTCGTCGTGCTACAGGGCGGTGTTGTGAAGGCATGTCACGAGAGTAGAGACGCCGCCGTGTGAGCCATGGTGCGAGCGCGATGTCACACGACAAGCGGGTTGCAGTGAGCGATGTGGGTGCTTTGACTACATCGACGATGATGCTTTAACGACGGGGCAACGACTGCCGAAAGGGTGGATGGGCTGACACGAGGCAAACTTCGATGTGAGCAGAAACATGTTGTGTTGTGAGGGAAGAGAAGCCGTGGTACGTCCACGAGCAACGCTACAAGGGCGCGGCGTACAGAGGGATAGGATTAGCCGACTTGAGCATGTCACATCAAACGACCGAGGAGGTGACTCGTATTTCCTCTCGTACAGCCGGCTGACGCCTAATAAGGTTTGTGTTCTTGGTCAGACTAGATTTAAAAAAAACATTGACAACAACAACATGGTACTTATGGTGGGAGAGAAGAGGTCTAGAAAAAGTAAGTTCAATCACCAAGCCAAATCTACACTTCAACTGGTCTCTAGCAACAAGATTGCACATTCACTAAAGGCTATTAAGATATATGTTAAACTTAATGTTGATGTAGTTCATACAATACTGAAAGATAATATAGGTGATTTCCCAGCGGCAGCAAATGAGAAACTTGATATTTGTGTGGATACAGTTTATAACGGGAATTATGACGTTGCGATTTGGTTTCAATCTAGTCCAGACAGTTGGCAGTAACCAAACGATGATCAACTCTGATAATACTGGTCTTGCAACAATTGTCTTCGAGGACTGTTATCAATTATCACATGTCACAACCCACTTTTTCCATGTAATATACTCTCTCCGTTTCTAAATATATCTCTTTCTAGAGATTTCAACAAATGACTACATACGAAGCAACATGAGTGAATCTACGCTTTAAAATATGTCTACATACATCTGTATGTTGTAGTATATTTGAAATGTCTAAAAAGATGTATATTTCGAAACTGAGGGAGTATATGAATATTGTTAGAGAATGCATTAGTCCATGAATCAGCTAGTTTGGCTAGATTCTCCAATGCTGGAACTTGGTTAGATAAAACATGCACCGCCGTCACGCTCGCAGGCTACTGCGCCCGTGCTCTGTTACCATGGCTGCTCGGGCGCTCAGTGAAAACCAAGGTCGGGGGCTCGGGACCTCCGTAAAAAGGAGCTACTGATAATAACTAACCAGGGGATTCAGTTAAGTATACTTAGGTGTTCTTCCCAATTTCAAGAAGAAAAAAAGTGTTCTTGCCACTCTCGCTCTGCTCGGACGCGCGCCGCCATGGACAGTTCCTCCCTGCTCTTCCCTCGCTTCCAATCTCGTCGCGTTAATCACCTTCCAGTTCCACCAACGCGAGAAATCTCATTTTTCCAGACACAGAATTCCAGTTCTATAGTTTCGATGCGAATTACCCAGCGCCATCCCTTCCCCAGTTCTCCAGCCTCGTCAGAGTAGCCGATGGAGATAGATCTGAACCGGGACGCCCGCGACGGCGACGCGGAGAGGGTCGCCGCCCCGCAGAGTAACCGCGCCGTCGGAGTGGAGGTCGTCGCCCAGGAGGGCAACGGCGATGGTGGCATGGTGGCCGCTGCGGAGGGCGTCGGCGCTGCCCCGGAGACGGTCGGCGTCGGCGCCGAGGAGGGCGTCGCCCCGGAGAAGAACGGCGTCGGCTCCGGTGGCGAGAAGGAGGTCGCCTCGGAGGGGAGCGGCGCCGGCGCCGAGGTGGGCGCTGCCGTCGAGACGAACGGCGTCGCAGTTGACGTCTGGATCTGCCACCAGGTGAGAGCTCCCCTCCTCCCTTTCCCTTTTTTTTCTGAGCGAATTCGCGAGACGCCAGGCGACTCACGAGGCGATCCCCAATCGCAAACCCTAGCTACACCCTTCGACCCTCGACTCACTCCTCGCCGCCGCCGCCGCCCTATTGTTCCTCTGGTTGCCTCGTGGTGGTCCATGGGCCATGGCGACGGCATGTGTGGGATAGGCGCTTCTCGGCAGGGCTGCAGTGGCGGCGGGTGGCTCCTCCGCCGGCGTGCATGGCACCCCGTGCCCACTGAAGGTGGTGGGCGTTGGCGTTCCAGCTGTGGGCTGCTGGCAATGCAACTCTGATGTGGCCGTACGCAGTTCTGCTGGCTGCTCCTGCCATGGCGGCACCTGCGCCGCATGCCAGCTCAGGGGGCGTGGTTTTGACATGCTGCCGACGGGTGCCTTGGTGAGGCTAGGGGTCTGAATGGAAGTGGTTAGCATGGGAGCTCCAGAGGATGAACGCCGTGCCTTTCAGGGTTGGCGACGCTGATGTCTGAGGGCTTCATCTTCCTCCTTAGAGGCGTTGTCGTGGAGTTTCAGCACCTCTTCCACCCTGGGGTTTCGTGTTCTGGGTAAAAACCTCAGATTTGGCTTGCTGGATCGGGCGCCGCCGCCGTCCATATCCTCCTTGGAGGTGTCGTCTTGGAGCCTTGACTCTCTGGTTCAGGACTGGATGGATCTCGGTGTTGGGTGCAGCTTTAGGAGGCAGGCCTGTGGGTTCTGCCGCAGACTTGGGCATTTTGGCTGCAGGTCTAGTTGGGCATGTAAGGTTTCGCCTGGTTTGCGGTGTCCTGGACATGGGCATTTCGGCTGCAGGTCTGTCCTGGCGGCCTAGTTTTGCCCTTTGCAGAACTGGAATCTCTGTCCCGGTAATTAAGGTTTCGTCTGGTTTCAGTGTCCTGGACATGGGTATGGAAGGCATCTACGCTTGTGTCGTGTAGTTGATGCATCTGTGTAATGTCCACTTAGCAGTGTCGTTTGTCGTTCAGTTAATGCATCTGTGTAATGTCCATTTAGCAGTGGCATGTGTAAATTACTCTTTCTATCAATGCACCGAGACGCAAAGCTTTTGCGCTTTGTTGAGAAAAGAAAGCAAATTCGGGAGGGGAGGCCCCTACCTTGATTTTCGTTAAAACGCTGAGCCAAAAACTTGGATGGCATCTAAAAGATTTACAAACACCAAATCAAAGAACCGCACAGATCGAACAGGAGGGAGGAAAAACAGGGGGGAGACAACTGAAAATCCTTTATGCCATGGATCTGATTTTGTTAAGACAAGATGCGTTTCACACAACTTCCTGACCGAGAGATCTATGATATCTTTAATGTAATCCTGCAACTCTAGTGACTGACTTCACTGGACAATTAAGGAGGGAAATTGGTTTGAAGTTACTACGGATTGTTGTCATTATCTTTTTTTCTTAACAAAATCATGTAAGATCTGTTTATCCTTTCTGGTTGTCCACCCAAATTATATGCCAGAAATCCTGAAAGAAAGCAGAACTGGATCCATCCGGACCTAGCTCATGCTCCCTTTCGCTTCTGCTTAACTAGTAAGCGTGCACGTGCAAATGCACGTCTCGACTAATATTACAAACATATGTGAAAATTAACTTGCAGAGAAAGATGTTTTGATCCACTAAAAAATATTGCAAATCAAGAAAGTATGTATATGGCCGGTTCAATTTAGTTGGTTCAAATTAGTGTAATTTCACACATAGCACTGCTTTATTGCGGGCCTTTGTTGCGATCGTACGAAGATAAACCACACCTCATTAAATATGGTGCCGCATAGAGCCATAGTTAACATCCGGACCTAGCTCCTGCTCCCTTTCGCTTCTGCTCAATGTATCTTCGTTTCATCTCTTCTGTGTTGCTATTCCTCAGTGCCGTCAGAGAAAAACAGGGCTCACGGCAGCTTGCAGAGGGTCCAAGAAGAATGGCAAGTGCACTCTCAGATATTGCAAGAATTGCATACGTAACAGGTTCAATATGTCCTCTCTGCTTTTTCTTAGAGGCTGTGGTAGGCAATCTTGAATGGGTCTGTTGATGTTCTCTTTATTTAACAGGTACCCTTTGATTGCGGATGAGGTGTTGAAGGAGGAAGCCTGGGAATGCCCCAAGTGCAGGAATGACTGCAACTGCAGCAAGTGCAAGTGAGCAATCTGAAGCTGGTACTTGTCATGAGGGATTATAGGTTTTTGTTATTGTTTTTATATACTCGTTATCTGGTTTTGTTTGGCAGAAAGAGGAGAGGGGAGGAGCCAGCAGGACCAATGGTCCATTCTGTCAAGAGACCGAAGGGCGACCTGCGGAGAATTGAGAGCACCGATGCTCTCAAGGATGAAATAGTCATACCCAGAGGTACTCTTGTCAAGAGACCGAAGGGCAACCTGCGGAGAATTGAGAGCACCGATGCTCTCAAGGATGAAATAGTCATACCCAGAGGTACTCTTGTCAAGAGACCGAAGGGCAACCTGCGGAGAATTGAGAGCACCGATGCTCTCAAGGATGAAATAGTCATACCCAGAGGTACTCTTGTGACTTGCGTTGCTGGTGTAGAGATGCAGCCTGAAGATGTTGGTGCCGCCATTCAATTTTTGGAGTTTTGTCGCTCATTTGGCGAGGTAGTTATGGAAAGCAAATAGTATTTTTTAATCATATGTTAGTTACACTTCTGCGATAAAATCTCCTTAGTACTCCCTCCGTCCCATAATATAAGAACGTTTCTGACACTACACTAGTGTCAAAAACGTTCTTATATTACAGGACGGAGGGAGTATCACATATGACATATGCATCTACATTTCTGACAACTTGACCAGCGCAATATGTCGTGCAAATCATTGCTGAGACTAGGATGTCTTAAGGGCTTCACAATATTTGTGATAGTGATGCATGTCTATGCAAGTGCCCACTTGGTATATCTCTAATGATCTGTATGCTTGATTTCATTGCTGAGACTAGGATGTCTTAAGGGCTTCACAATATTTGTGATAGTGATGCATGTCTATGCAAGTGCCCACTTGGTATATCTCTAATGATCTGTATGCTTGATTTCATCTACCTCCAGAAAGTGTCATAATTATTTTAAATCCGTCTTCTATCTCTAACAAGCACCATGGAACAATTTTGAGTGTACAGCAATTAGAAATTATTTTGTGTTGCATTGTTTGATGCATGGACTCCTCATTTGTCATTTCTAAATCCTGTTTGCAGTAGCTAAGTGAGGTTGTCTGAGATTGTTGCTGAGCTCATAAATTCTGCTGTTGGTGAGGTCTAGAATCTTAATCCTGTTCTTGTTACTTCTGTCTTGTTAACACAAAACAGATCATCAACTTGAGAGGCATATTCTTTATGATATGTCAATTTATAATAATCTAAAGAAAGTTTATTTGCATTGTATTTATAATCTGTCATCAAACTTGGTTTTTGTTTCGATAGTTGGAATTCTTACCAGTTCTTAGCTACCTGCTTGCTTTTAGAGACCTTTTCTTCCGTATTATAAATAGAATAATGTACAAAATGATTTAAGCAGATCTTCCAAATAAGGAAGGGCCAATCAGAAAAAATTGTCAAAGACATAACTGGAGATCGTCAACTCCGAGAGGTGTCTTCAGTTGTTGCTGAGCTTCACACAAACCTGTTGTCTGTCATAGAAAATGGCAATTACAAGTAAGTATACTTCAAATTGTATCTCCTTCTAGTTTTGCGCATGTAGTTGAAAAATGACTAAATGAGGTTTTTCCTTCCTTAAGGCCTTTGAAATATCCAAAACATGGGGATACATGGATAAGAAGACTCAGCAAATATATCACTGACTCGACATTACACGCAAAAGATTTCATCCTTGACTGCTTAAGCCATGGGCTATCTGGATATAAAAATTTGAGCCCTTCTCATAAGCTGGATGTGCTGAATTCTCTGTGTGACGAGGCATTATCATCTGAGTAAGTACAGGCTATCATATGTGTTGAAGAAGTTCACTTAACTACTGTCATATTAATTATCTTGTATCTTTTTCAGAAAGTTGAGGACTAGGATTGAAGCTAGAGAGGGTGTGGTCAGACAAAAGATCCGTGCTGCAACCGAGAAGGTATTTCGTTGAGAATTTCCTTTTTTTTTGTGGTCAAGTGTCAAGTCACTTGGTTGACATTAGTGATCAGCAGTTTTCTTTTGTTTCATAGGAAAAGGAGCTAAAAGAAAGACAGAATGACATGGCTAAAACAATGGGAGGAGAAATCACTGGCAATGAAGAAGCTAATAATATCTTTTGTCAAATAAAAGAGGCAAAAGAAGTCAAGCAGGCAGCCATGAAGGGTATGTGGCAGTATGGTTAAATTTGTTTAGTATTGTGCATTTGTTCAGTTCACAGTATGTCTGATATCTTTCAATCACGTTTAATATATCATTTCACATCAAATACAGTATACCTTTTAATATGTATATATGTATTTTTCTGGAAAGTACCTTTGTAATATAACTACATTATTAGGTTTTATATTACTCCCTCCAGTCGACAAAAACATGATGGTCTGGGCATATTTTTGGTAACTTCTAAAACGTTAACCACCAATAAGGCAATATCTTCTAAAATATTTTGATTGGGTGAGTGAGAACCATATGTGTAGATTTGTCTAAACAATACTTGCACATTATAATGATTTTATTAACTTTTAAACATTATACCATAATAGAAACTGATGGTCAAAGTACTATTCTTGGAGATTGTGCAACATACTATCTTCTCAAAGACGCGAGGGAGTAGTAGAAACAAATCATCAAAGTTAAGACCGGAGGGAATATGTAACTTCCACTGACGTCAAATTGTCTGCCCCTCCACCATACATGCATACTGAGAGCTCCTTTGATTCAAAGGAATTCTATAGGATTTTTGGAGGATTGAACTCCTTTGGAATTTTTCCTACATTTGTCCTTTGATTCAAAGGATTGAATCCCATAGGAATCTTTCCTATGAAATCTTTTGTACTACATTTCATAGGAAATCTAACATCCACTCCAACCTGTTTTTGCAATTCCTCTGCTTTTCCCATGAAATCAAACACTCCTTGCTAATCCTGTAGGATTGAAATGGGCATGACACTCCAATCCTTTACTTTTCCTATTCCTGCGTTTTCAAAATCCTGTTAATCAAAGAGGCCCTGGCCATTTTTGTAAACATACTGTTTGTATAGTGCAACCCAACTCTTTCATGCATGTGGACATAACCATCCAAGATAAGGTAGCCCTAAGAAAAGGAAACATATGATAATACGTTGATTACCTTAATTCATATGTGCTCTGCTCCCTGATTTTGTAAAATAAGATGGAACTTGACCATTGTTTTAGAGTCAGAGTCAATCAAGATTGATGTCTGTTGGTGGTAGGAACCGGATCCCTACCAGGGCGTGGTCTCAGGTTGTAGGGGTGGAAGGAGGGATGGCGTGGAGGAAGGCGTGGTCACCGGCGCCGGGGCGCCGTCGTTGCCTGCGTGCGAGAGAGAGAGAGAGCAGGGGCGGCGGCTAGGGTTAGGTCTCCCCCTAAGGAAGCCGAGCAAATATGATTGTTTCTTGCTTAATCCCAAAACGGGTCCTTACACGAGTTTATGTAATCCTCCTAATAAGATAATTGGGCTAAGCACCTAATAACGATAAGATAAACCGGGCCACAACTAACTGGGCTAAGCCCCTAATATGCCGGTCATAACATCTCTCCCCGCCTGCACAAACAACTCGTCCTCGAGGTGGAAGGCGGGGAAGATCAACGGTCGCCAAACACCTCTGCGTCAACTGGGGCAGGTTGGTCGCCGAGCCCGGCGGCGGCGGGGTCCTCCTCAATGTAGCATGCAGCCTCCAGGTAGAAGAGTCGTGGGCAGACGTGGCCCGGTACGTAGGGCTCGTCGCAGTTGAAGCACAACCCTTGGCAGCGACGCTCGAGTTGCTCGGCCGGGGTGAGCCGGCGGAACGGGCGTGCCGCAGCTGCGGCGAGGGGTGCCGCGGAAGCTTGGGCAGGCTGACCCTGCGCGGGAACTTCCGGCCAGGGTGGCGGCCCAGCGGCTCGGGGCGGTGGCGCCTGCTGGATGGCCACCGTGCGACGCTCGAACGCGAGGGCGTAGTACATGGTCGTCTGGAGGTCCTGTGGCCCGCGCGTCTCCACGTCCACGCGGATGTGGTCCGGTAGGCCGCCGACGAAGAGCTCAGCCCGCTGACGAGCTGAAATGCTCGGGGTGTGGCACGCCAGTGCCTGGAAGTGGTCGGCAAAGTCTTGCACGGAGGTGAGGAACGGAAGACGCCCAAGCTCCGCCAGACGGCTCCCGCGTATAGGCGGACCGAAGCGCAAGAGGCACAAATCGTGGAAGCGCTCCCATGGTGGCATGTCGCCCTCTTCCTGTTCGAGGGCGTAGTACCACGTCCGCGCGGCTCCTCGGAGATGATACAAGGAGATCCAGGTGCGGTCGGACGCGAGCGTGCGCTGTCCCTTGAAAAATTGGTCGCATTGGTTGAGCCAATTCAGGGGGTCGACGGTGCCGTCGTAGGTCGCGAACTCCAGCTTGGAGAATCTCGGCGGCGTCTGGACGTGGACGACGGGCGGGTGCGCCTCGTCAGCACGGAGCAGCGAGGATGACGGGGCCGAGTAAGCGGGCATCAGGGTGCTGCCCTGGAACAGGGGCCTGTCGACGCCGGCGAAGGGCTCGGCGGAGCCCGAGGACCCGCCAAACTGCATGGCCGGGTGCGTCGCCGGCGGGGGCAGCACGTGCGGCCCGACCGAGGCCGTCGTGTAGACCGGCTCAAGGGATCCAGTGAGCTAGGCCGGTAACGGAGACGACGACGGGGGAAATCGGGCCTGGTGGATGGGCACCCCCGGGCCCGTCGTTGGGATGCCCAGGGCCGCGGTCGCCGGTGGCAGCGGTTGCAGCTGTTGCCCCTGTTGCATGGCGGAGGCGCCGGGGTTCGTTGCTGGTGGCGGCTGCCACGACAGCTGCTGCATGGCGGCGGCGACGAGGGTCGCCGAGGATGGCGGCTGCTACAGCGGCGGGGCGGTGGCGAAGGGCACAGGCGGCTACGGCCCATAGGATCTCGCGAGGAACGTGTAGATGCCCGTGACCGCCTGGGTGAGATCCTGGATGGCAGCCGTCATCTCCTCCAGGGTGAAGACGACGGGGACGGGCGCGGCGGAGGTGACCGGCACTGGCAAGAGCGGGGCGTTGGCCGTGGTGGCCATCAGGACGGTCGGCAGCGGGAGGGTCGGGGTGGGCGGCGGCGAGGACGTGACCGCACCGAAGCTATTTGATACCAAATTGGTAGGAACCGGATCCCTACCAAGGCGTGGTCTCAGGTTGTAGGGGTGGAAGGAGGGATGGCGTGGAGGAAGGCGTGGTCACTGGCGCTGGGGCGCCGTCGTTGCGTGCGTCCGAGAGAGAGAGAGAGAGAGCAGGGGCGGCGGCTAGGGTTAGGTCTCCCGGCTTCCTTCCTAAGGAAGCCGAGCAAATATGATTGCTTCTTGCTTAATCCCAAAACGGGTCCTTACACGAGTTTATATAATCCTCCTAATAAGATAATTGGGCTAAGCCCCTAATAACGATAAGATAAACCGGGCCACAACTAACTGGGCTAAGCCCCTAATATGCCGGTCATAACAGTTGGCAAACTTATTTGTGCATCCACCATACTGCTTTGTGTTCACCCTTCTACATACACATCTTCCCACTTTGTTTTCTAGTTTGATACCGTCAGGCCCATTGGTGTTTATCCTGCCAAAATAGAAGCAATTGTGACAAGGATGGACATCGCCGATAATGGAAATATGTATGTCACACAATGTTCTTCCTGTGACACCAATCTACCACCTATTTTGATGTCGACGGCCTTGCCATTTTCACCATCGGGCTGCTTCTGCTTCCCACTTTGTTTTCTAGTTTGATACCATCAGGCCCATTGGTGTTTATCCTGCCAAAATAGAAGCAACTGTCACAAGGATGGACATCACCGATAATGGAAATATGTATGTCACACAATGTTCTTCCTGTGACACCAATCTATCACCTATTTTGATGTCGACGGCCTTGCCATTTTCACCATCGGGCTGCTTCCGTTGTTAGCGTAGCCATGGCTAGCACAACTTGTATTACCAATTGATCAACATACCAAGTCAAAGGCCCCTCATGTTAGGAACTTTTTCCTCATAGGATCGCTCCCCCACCCTCCAAGGTCCATTTTTCTTCGATTTTTAGGTATGAAACCCTAATCTTAAAGATGAGATTTTCCCTAATATAATGCTCCTATTACTCTTGACGACATCCATATTTTGATGGTCTCACCTAAACTGTCTAGGCGCTTGCCTAACTAAAATACCTAGGATGATGGCCCTTGGCGTCTGATATGGCCTTGGGGGTGCTATCTCAATGCCAAGGTGATGCCATGATAACCCCTCCCTGGAGTGTAGTAAACTGTTACAGACAGTTCTTGCAACGTTGTGAAATAGGTAGAACAGAAGATTCAACAAGCCTTGTAAAAGTAAGACGTGATGGCAACAATGGTCCTGCCAGCATAGCAATTAGACTGTCATAAGGGCATGATGCCATGGCCTTACTTCCACGAATCATAAGCGACATGTTGGGTCAGGTAGTAAGTTTGCTCTAGACTATGAGTATGAAGGAATTTCAGGAGTATTACGTTGCTTCGCTTTCGGAAAGCGGGAAAAATAACCCTAGGGCTTTGATGCCATGTTGGGAATATGCAAATTGCATTTCCATGAGGCAAGTACATGTGTGGTAAATATGTAGAAAACCCCTTATACAATGGGGACATCACATGGCTATATATAACTCTTAACAAGTTTGAAGGTGATTATGGGCTGGTTGAGGTTTAGAGCAAACACTCCTAAAGCCAGGTCTAGATAATAATATTGATTAAGTCTTCATACCCTGTCCTATTTAAAGGGGTGGAAATGAGTTTAAAATGCTAAGTGAGAGTTTGATATCACGATATGTTTTCTTTGATATGATGAAAATTCCATTTGTGACAAGTGTTTGAACAAGTGATGGCGACACTGATGACTTCCCGATTAAAATAGGACTGCGCCAGGGGTCAGCTTTGAGCCCTTATCTTTTTTGCTTTGCTAATGGATGAGGTCACAAAAGATATACAAGGAGATATCCCATGGTGTATGCTCTTTGCGGATGATGTGGTGCTAGTGGACGAGATAGTCAGACGGGGGTCAATAGGAAGTTAGAGCTATGGAGACAAACCTTGGAATCGAAAGGTTTTAGGCTTACTAGAACTACAACCGAGTACATGAGGTGTGGTTTCAGTACTACTAGGCACGAGGAGGAGGAGGTTAGCCTTGATGGCAGGTGGTGCCTCAGAAGGACACCTTTCAATATTTGGGGTCAATGCTGCAAAAGGATGGGGATATTGATGAAGATGTGAACCATCGAATCAAAGCCAGATGGATGAAGCGGCGCCAAGCTTCTGGCATTCTCTGTGACAAGAGAGTGCCACAAAAGCTATAAGGCAAGTTCTATAGGACGGCGATTCGACCCCAATGTTGTATGGCACTGAGTGTTGGTCGACTAAAAGGCGACATGTTCAACAGTTAGGTGTGGTGGACATGCGCATGTTGAGATGGATGTGTGGCCACACGAGGAAGGACAGAGTCTGGAATGATGATATAAGAGATAGTTGGGGTAGCACTGATTGAAGAGAAGCTTGTCCAACATCGTCTGAGATGGTTTGGGCATATTCGGCGAGGCCTCCAGAAGCTCCGGTGCATAGTGGACGGCTAAAGCGTGCTGATAATGTCGAGAGGTCAGGGTAGACCGAACTTGACATGGGAGGAGTCCTTAAAGAGAGATCTGAAGGACTGAAGTATCACCAAAGAACTAGCCATGGACGAGGGAGCGTGGAAGCTTGCTATCCATGTGCCGGAACCATGAGTTGGTCGCGAGATCTCATAGGTTTCACCTCTAGCCTACTTCAACTTGTTTGGGACTGAAGGCTTTGTTGTTGTTGTTGTTGATGATGATGAAAATTCCATCTTAACTCCAAATAAATAAGTTGGAACAGAAGCAATCATGATTCATGAGGCACCCCTTTACTTTGAACATCACATAATCTTTCATTGACAACTTTTAGTTATGCAGCAGAAGCGCAGTTCGAGTGTCAGTTTTCCTTTTCAATTTGATGTATCCTCCATTTGCAATTTTTGGTTTACTTTTATTTTCAATATTTTGCATAGTTTGTAGTCTAGACTGGCCGGGTAGTTACTTTTCAGAATGTGAAAGTAAAAATGCTTAATTTAGTTTCTTAACATTTCAAGCATACTGAGCCTAATTAAGTTGGGAGGTTTAATAAGATGGGAGGTGTGGTTGTACACCCCCACCACCGAGTCTCTTCTGACATGTGTATTCTTGTCCTTCTGTTTTATTATGTGATGTGTAAAATGTCTATGCTTTTTTTTAGTAAAAAAGGATATTGAGCTAGCCATGCTGTATTAATTTCTTCTTTTACTTCCCAACTATGCAGAATTAGAGGAACTGGGATGTGTCCTTAGGTCCACGCCTGTCATGGTAGACAAAGGAGTAGCATACTGGAAGCTGGATGGCTATTGTAATAACAATACAAACATATTGCGCCAAGGTAAGAAATTATTATGAGATAAGTTTTCATTTTACTCATTTGCAAATATATAGTGATTAGTAATACCATGTTTATGTCAGAATTTGACAAAGAAGCTACAATGAAGAACCAAGACAAGTGGTTCATGTTCAGTGAAGATGAACAGAAAGTAGTTGAAAATCATGTAACTACAAGGTAAGGAGTTAATCTTACCAAATTATTTTGCTGTATCCCTCTTCCCTAAATGCTGTAGAGTTGCTGCTACAGTGGTTTTCTGTCACCAACGTGTTTCTGTTAATTACCCCATCTGAGGGCCTCCTTGATTCACAATTCTCAAAACGCGGGAACAGGAAAAACGTAGGAATAGATTGTCATGTCCTTTTCTATCCTACAGGATTTGGAAGAGTGTTTGATAGCACAGGAAAAATAAAGGAATCTTACAGAGCTTTGAAGATGGAAATTTTCCTCCAAAATGTAGTACAAATGAATCCTATGGAAAAAAATCCTAAGGATTCCAATCCTACGAATCAAACAACCATCATAGAAAAATTCCTAAGGATACAAATCCTATGAAATCCCTTTGTATCAAACGAGCCCTGATATTTTATGCTGTAGACCCATTAATTCTGGTAAAAAGAACTCATATTTGTATGTGTTGCTATGTTTGGGCAATTTAATATGATATAGTACTGTAATTGAAGCATAATGCTATGAAGTAGCATTTTCTGAAAAATGATCATTTTTTTATGCCTTACGGTGTGTTGTCAAAAGACTTTTCTTGGCAGTACATTCTCATATATTCTTGAAAAGCAATAGCTGGCATTCACCATTGTCAGTATTTCTTCTGCATGTCACCTACCTACCTACCTACCACCCTCTTGCTAGTGTGACCCGATGTTTTCATTACCCGCTGTTCAGGCCTTTAGGGACATTTTGGGTTGGGGGTATTCCACCATCCCATGTGGGAACTAACAGATGAAGTAATTTTGATTGGCGATATGATTATTTTATAGAAAGGTTACTGATTTACTTTGAAAGGATTCGCCAAATATGCTTAGGTGACAAATTTACTACCTGCGGTTTTGGGATGCTTGAATTATGAAGTCTGGAGGTCCTAAACAGATTGTTGATACCTTACTTTCATGGATTTGTAGTCTTCTGTTTCATTTTGGAAATCTATAGCCTGAGGCTTTTAGTTCTTTACATTTGCTCTCAAGATATAAATATCTTTGTATATGTTCTGTCAAGCCATGCTCAGTTGCTCATATCTGTGTCTTTTTTTCTTTTCTATAAACACTTCTTCATTCAAGCAAGTTATACTTTGAGCATGATTGGACTTCTAGCTGATGGTGTGTTCAGTCTTTTCTTCACTGCGTAGAATTGATGTGTCAATATGCTCAATTTCTTTGGTGTTAACAAATTTCTTATTTATTTTGGGCTGGATATTCTGTTTTCTCGTTTTCTAGTCCGAGAAGTATTGCCAGCTCAGTAAGTTGGCCTTTTTTTATTGATATAGTAGTAAAACTGTTGGCTGACCCAGTATCTTATTGCAACTGTCTAAAATAGGTCCCAGCGCCCATGGAGAAATGATAACCGGGTGTGATGATTTACAGATCCCAATCTCCTGCTGTTTTAACTGCTTGATGGTATTCATTTGTCCTTTCTATGCGCCTTTCTTTTTATGGCTTCTAGGATACACCACATTTCCTTTCAAGTAAAATGGAAATAAGTTATTTTACAACCGCATCGTCACTATTTATGTTCTAACAGCAAAGCATATACTATAAACCACCAGTGTTGACTCTGCTGTGCTTATCAACCTGATGAGTGTTCACTTACAGTTACAGCTCAACTTCACCGGAAACATACGTAAACGATAACATCGGAGATGTACAGAAATTTGCACACGAATCTCCATTGCTTCTTCAAACCTCTTGCCATGCTATAGCAGGAAGAAGCTACTGCGTTGAACAGAATATCACCTGCGGTAGTATTGCTGATATAGTCCCGAAACATAACTTTTAGCTAGTCTACAAAAGTATTTAGGATAAAACTATATTTTATTTGCCACCGTAAAGCGAGTCATCACATGAAACTACATGGTTAAGTATTTATCCTATTACAGTTTTGTAATGATTGTTTCTCTTAAGTATTAAGCTCAGAGTGGGAGCTGTGAATTATTTTCATCTTCTTTTTATGTTCTGTTTTGGCAGGTGAATGAACTACCCCAGATGACAGTTGCTACAGAACAACCAACATTTCTCGAAGATTGGGTCATAGCATTTGAATACAAATCTTGTGGCATCTTTTTTCTCCCCTATGGGAACACAGCAAGACTTTGTAGCACCTTCTGATGTATTTTTTGGGGATGTTTTGAAAATGAGAGAAAGCTAGAGCATGCAGCTTTGCTGAAATTTATCGTTAGCATTTGAATGTCGTACAGCCAAATTTTCATGCTGTATCGTACTCCTCCTGTAAAGAAATATAAGAGTGTTTAGATCACTATACGCTCTTATATTTCTTTATGGAGGGAGTATTATTGATCGTTCTATAGCAGAAACGGATTATTTCCAGTCTCGAACATGAAAGAGCTTTCTTTGATTATTATTATTACTATTTTAGAAAAGGCAGGATTCATTGCTTGCTTGTCTGGTTTGTGCCCTGGAGAATAGATATAGCCTCTAGCATGCTATCTGGAGAATAGGGACGGCCACAGTGTGCGCACCGCTGCACTCGAGCAGCTATCTGGATAATAGGAACGGCATTTAGGGGCTGTTTGGTTTGCTACATGAGAGAAATTTGCCTAACCTAAAACAAGCCAGACAATTGCATGCATCTGTTTGGTTGGTGCCTGAGTATAGGGATATCAACCGGGTCCTATTTAATCCCGTTTAAAATCCATTTATGATGTGATAGTTCAAAAAGATTTTTTGTTTGTTTGAGGAAAATAAACTATCAAGCTAGCAAAAAATAATTAAGCGAACGCCATTTATTTGCCACTTACATCCCTGCCTGAGCATCATTTCGACCAGCCTGACCCGGACTCCTACGGCAGGTAATTAGCTGGAGCCAGGCCACCAAAATCGAAGGCCTGACTCAGGCAGAAGCAAAGTGTGACACATGCATGTACTCTAGGCCACGGGATACTATTTTAATATTGCTCAGGCTCATGCAAGGCTCAGGGAGTATGCAAGAAAACGCCCTTTTCTGGCATCAGTCTAGCCGTTGCATTTCAATCCAATGGCCGGCGTGCTTCAAATTTCCATCAGCCTGAAGGCCACGGGACCCAATAGGTTTCTCAACCTGTATGCAAGAAAACGCCCCTTCCTCGCATCAGTCTAGCCATTGCATTTCAATCCAATGGCCGGCGTGCTTCTAATTTCCATCTTGTTCCTTAAGCCACACAAACCAACGCCGGCCGGACAATGTGCTACCGGCCCTTGAGACCGGCAAAGCTTTCGGGTGCACCTCGAAACCTCAATTGCCGTCTAGGCCATCCCTTAACCCTACACAACTCTTGTTCTTCTCTGGCGACGACAACCCTATCCCGTACTTTAACCAGTCAACCCTTAGCCTTGGACGCCACTGTTGCATTGTTCCCGGCTCAAGTCATTCCGTTCCGGCCTCGCCGACAACCCTTGCTTGGTTGCGCTTGCCACCGTGCCGCCGTTTCTACTCTTGGTGCTAATGTAGAATCGACTAGTGTGAAACAAAAATTCAGTTCAAGCATTATGTAAAGATCAAAAGCACAAAAAAGTGATGGCTCCTACTATAATGTTGACGTCTAAGACCATCAAATTATCAACGTAATCAATAAACGAGAGAACTATGCTAGGAAAAGCTGACACCGGGGACCTAGTAGGTTAACATGGCCGTATACATGCAAGTGTCTCCTTTATTCTTGCATCAGTCATTCTGGCAGCCGTTGGATTCAAATCCAATTGTTGGCGTGCTCCTTCAATCTTCCGTCTTCTTTCTCCAGCCACCCAAACCAGCTCCAGTCAGACCGTCTGCTCCCAACCCTCGTGCGAACGACTGTGCTACTGCGTGCCCTACCATGAAGCACGTCCCATGCTATCCCTTTAACCCCCACACCACATGTTCTTCTCGTTCGAGTCCTCACTTGCCCAACTTCTTAACACATTCTTTTGGTTTGCTTTTCGAGTCCAACATACCCATGTCAAGTGGATCCAACAGATTTCAACATCTGCTACCGATTTTTGTTTTTTCTTAGAAAATGACCGCTCAATTTTTTAAAAGAAAAATACAGAGCCCGACTTTAATTTTCTTTTAAGAATGCCCAAGTGCAAATCTTTCAAGATGAGAGATGGATTTGGTCCTTGAAGGAAATTTTAGTCTTTTTTAGGTTGGCCCACTAAGCAAATGAACTATAAATTCATAAAAAAGGTCGTAGTTCCGCTACATATTTGAAGTCTGACATTTGGGACCCACCTTTCGCTAGAAAAGCATTGGAACCCATGAGGTTGAAGCCAATGCAAGGCATCGACAACATAGCAACAAATGAATCTGCCAAGTCGTTGGATTGATATCCAACTGCTATTCTGCATCTTCAATCTCCCGTCTTCTTCCTTCAATCGCTCAAACGAGTGCGGTCAGGTCGTCTGTTCCCGCCTCCCGTGGCTGATGGCGCTGCAGCGCTCCCCTCGCCGTCCCACTCTACACTAAACCGCCTCCCAGGCCATCCCTCTATTACCTCCACACCTCTTATTGTTCGCTGGTGACAGCAGCCCCACCCCGCACCCAAACCAGTCAACCATCGTCCCCTCGCGTGGGACTACACTGCAGCGTCTTACTCAGCTATGAGTCATTTCCGTTCGAGGCCTCTTCGTTGTCTGCTGCCTTGGTGCACTCGCCGAGGCGCCATCGTCTGGTGTTGTTGACGTAGTCAACAAACATAGTCATTGAAAAAGGACTGTACATGGAGAGGCTGACAATAGGGGCCACTAGGTTCAAGATCACATGTAAAATAGGTGCCTCCTTATTTTAAGAAAAAAAAAGATTCCTCCTAGTTGGATTATGATATCTGTGACCCACTAGGTTGAAGTCTATGTGTGTATTTGCCTAAAAAAAGTCGATGTGTGTATGGTGTTATGTGTCCGGTACCAATCGTGGCGTGCATACTGGTCTCCAATGGTGAGCCGTATTGTCCTAACCACATTGTGTTGGTAACATGCATATAAGACAATGTCGAGTATGCAATAGCGTACACTTGGATAATACAGTACACACACACAGAGAGTACACACATGACTAACACACTCAAACTGGTTGAGAGAGATCGAGAGACTACGCATATATACAAGGCTAATTCAATAATGCTAGATTCATGCATATATAATTTTTTTCAGAAAAGGAGGATTACCCCAACCTCTGCATCAGAGTGATGCATGCAGCCCCTTTATCGGTGCATATATATGGGCCTTTCGGATGCCCTACGGTCGAGGAACTTTGTGCGATCATCCAGTTGGTCCTCTCCGAGCGGTGGAAGCATAGGAACAACATCGTCTTTAACCAAGATGTGCCATCTGTGACGATGGTGCTCACTAGGATAAATCAAGAATTGGGGGAGCGGGGATCACACCAGGCTAGTATCAATGGAGCAGCCTTTCAGATGGAGTTGATACAATGACTGTGTAATAATCATGTAACTCTTGTCTAGATGGAGAGTTGTGTATGGGGTGTGTTCTCGATGAATTCAGCTACACAAAGTAGTTGGCCATCTTCGTCCATTCTTTTATAATACTCCCTCCATTCCCTTATACACGGTTATTCCATATTTTCATGTTTAACTTTAACCATTAATTTTACCAACAGAAAGTAAATTAGATGTCATAAAAAGAATTTCGCCGGATGCACATTTCAAAAAACTTTCCGATGATATATTTTTTATGACATATAATTCAGATTTTGTTGATCAAAATTATAGGTCAAAATTTGACACGAGAACAAAGTGGCCTTGTATTAAAAAAATGAAGGGAGTATATGATACGCGTGCCGCCGGTGGGTACTCCACATGCTTCATTTTACGGGTGAAAATACATGAACATCCATGTGAAAAATTCACAATTATCTGTTTTTTTTGCGGGTTACAATTATCGCTGATCCACTTGGTGCGACGATACTACAAGTTGCAAACTGATCCGATCACTGACAAGCAACTGGACTGAACCACCCTGCCAATTCTCGCGTTTCCGCCAAAACCAAAACCAAATCTAAATTTTAATCGTTTGTCTTGAGCCTAGCTTGGCGTCTGGTCCGTGCCCCGAGGGAAGCCACAGGCGCCCGGCACGCACCTCCGGCGGTTGGTTCGGCCCGCGACATGACGCCCTTTCTTTAAGCTCCAGCGGCAACATAGGCTGTGGAAAACAAAACTTTAGGGTGTGGCAGCAGCACATTTGACTATAGTAATATCTCAGGAACATGCCAATGGAGCCCGGATCACATGGCGCGCAACATGGGCAGAATGCTTGACCGGACACCTGCTACATGCTACACAAAAGAGAAGAGGCTCGTGACCAACATGTTAGCGCAGATCCACCATCAAAGGAGATCAAGAGGACGTGCTTATACAAAGCTGAAACG